TTTTCTGGCACGCTTCCAACAAAAGCTGTCAGTAAACAGTAAAAGAGTTACACTCTGTTTTCTGGAATCGAAAAATATTCACCGAATAAAGTGAATCGGTTCTTCGAATCAGTTCCGGAGCGGATCGTCCGTCTTTACTGGGGATGTGCGACAGCGCTCATTTATAAAATCGGATGAGAATTGTTCGTTTATTGAACTGAATCGCTCACTAACAATAACCATGATAAAAAATATCGAGAATGAGGAATGAATCAATACCAGTCAGCGAGGTATTGAGCGAAGAATGGAAAGAATCGAACAAGCAGTGGGATCGTAAATGGTTAGCCTTGTTTAAGCAAAGAGCGAAAAGAATTGAACGTGCAGTGGGATCGGAAGGATCTATTAAAAAACGCTAACTCTCAGGTGTGTTTTCTTTCAAATGAGATTCCTTACAACCTCCTTTCTACACAGAATTAAGAATAAAATTCTAGAACAACAACAATAAACAAACAAACAAACAAACAAACAAAAAATCAAAAAGTAGTGAAATGATAAACTTAACTCATTTTTAAGGTGAGAGAATAAGCATTCTTTTGCCCCTCAAAATGCGAATCGAACTTTCCTGGCACTTTTCCAATAAATGGCACTTTTCCAATTTTTCGCTTTCTCAATAAAGTGAATCAGTTTATCAGTTTGTGAAATAATACCACATATGTATTCCTGGCACGCTTCCAATAAGAGCTGTCCGTGAGCTATAAAACAGCTACCATTCCATTTTCTGAAATTCCAGCTGTTGATGCGTTCAGTAAAGTGAATCGGTTCTTTGAATCAGTTCCGGAGCGGATTGTGCAACTCTACCTCTGAGGTGTTCTTCAACAAAATCGGGATCAAACTAAACAAACGAGGAATTCAACAGATGACATGTTAAAACCCCATCTGACTAGTCGCCTTGTCGTCTGTGCCAAAAAGCATACAATTTTGTGAACTGGCATCCATTCCCTTTCAAAGAAAAGAACGAGACGTGAAATAAGCATAGCTTTTGATGAAAGCATTGCATTTATTCGTCGAAATAATGATAATCATATTAAAAGCCTACGTACGAAAATATGGCTAAATTTTTCAATAAAATTTGATTTCGACCAGCAGTTGATTATTTTCAAGAACAAACTTTCAGAATTTAATTTGACTGTCTCATTTTTTAAGACTACGTTTTTCATAAATTATCTATCAACTGAGCAACCAAATTCAAAAATTTATTGTTTTTACTTCCTTGTACGAAGTAAAAAGGAAGTATTGTAATCGTGAAAAGTTTCAGGCAGCATATTTCAACGAAAATATCCATTTGACCGCTATCGAATGCAATTTAACGAGGTTTTTGCGTAATATCTGTACGTAAGAACAGAATAAAAGACTCATTCCCTCCAAAAAAATTATAAAACTGCTTTAAAATTAATTCTGAAGAGAATTTTTCGTGGCGTCTGTACGAACGTTTGTACGTACATGCGTACGTACGTATCTCGCATAACTCAAAAACGAGTAGCCTCAGAACGTTGAAATTTTGTATATAGGACTGCTATAACATGTACCTCGTATTTTGGCTGCAATCGGCCGCACCAAACGTATATAAATATACATATCCACTCCGTTACCCGGCTCAGTGATCTCAGTTTCTTTACTCTTATATGTTTGTAAATTGTACATTTTTTTGGTTTAAAAATGATTGAATTATGTTGTTCTTATCTTCCGGTTAAGGTTTTTATGCCTTTAGTAAATCTGTATGCAATATTTTTAGAATTATCAACAATTTTAAAATTGTTTAAATGCCGCTAAGCCTTTTTTATGAAGGCTGCCATTGATTGTTTATATTTGAAACAGCAGACTAGTGGATTTGTTGCCAATCTAGAGAAACTTAGCTTCGCAGCAACAAAGATAACGCCTTTATTTATTATTGCCAATTAAATCATGCTTAATCCTTTCTGGAATTTTTTCGAGGAAATAAGTGTTTAAAATTTACGATAGATATTTTGAGTTTTTATGTATTTTTGCCTTCTCGGGAAGTGAGAACTGAATTAATTGAATGAGAAATACTCAATCATCCGTGAAAAACAGTTTCTTTTCCGTTTTGTTTGCTTAATTTCTTTTATACATCTTTCTAGCCTTATTATAGTACTTGAATATAACATGTGGCAACGATTAGCTGATTCTATTCTTTAAATGATATAAATTTTGTGCATTCTGAGTTATAATATGAACGAAATATAATACTGTTAAGTGAATCTAGCGCCAGAGTGTCGCTATGATAAACAAATACTAGAGTGAATTTTAAAGAATGCATTGTTTCTATTGTGGTTTATGCGCTGTCGGCGAAGTAGATTTAATTCAATCCAATAAGTTTAAATGAAATGCAAGAAAAAATGCGTATAATTTAATATTCCATACAAGGAAGTCATGCGGTGTACACATCACATTTTTTAATTAAAATAGTTATCCGAGATCTGATGTTATTTCGCTCAGAAGAATTGTTCGACTGATTAAATTTTATTCCACAGAACCGTATAAATAAATAATAGTCTTAATCAGATAAAACATTAAAAAAATTTACAATACATCTACAAAAACAATTACATAGAAATTTCTAATCTTGATGTCAATCTTCATAACTTGTTATATTTATACTATATTATAAATGATAAATAAAAGATTACCAATACTTCAAAATGCTTATAATTGCTTTCTGATTCATAGTCATATATTTTTTCAGTCTGATGCGATATGGAACACACATGAAAAATTTCGATAATTCTCTCTCATTATATCAGCAATAATGGCACGCAGTTTTTAATGATTTTCGCCTTTCTAATCAAATGGTCTTAAAAGCATAAGTTCCACCAATGTTTCACCTATGTTCAATTTTATTAAATTAAATGTGTCAAAAAAATTATCATAATTGATCAGAAATCAATAACGCAAACAAACCAACACTTTTCGAAATAAAGCATTTTTAACTTCAACGATTGAGACTGTTGCCATTCAAAAAATGAGTGAGAAAATTAGAGTTTTCAGAGTTTTTAATTAATATCTCGGCTGATTAAAGTCGTACGAAGATGGGAACAGTCGAAATGACTTCCCGCGAATTTTTGGAATCGGGAATAATGTATTTAATGTCTGGCAAGAGTATTTTTATTTGACTGTAAAACTTAGAAATTTGTTATTAACATACTCCACGATTTAAAAGCGAGCAGTGGCAACACTTCTCGAAATAAAGCAGATTTGTATCTCCAGCGTGCAAGACTGTTGCCATTCGAAGAAACGAGGGCGAAAAGTATCGTTTTCAGAGTTTTTAATTAATATCTCCGAGTTTTAGCTCTTTTTTTGGGGGGGCGGACGATGATCTTTCCCAGGACCCAGAAAAGAATTGTAGAAAATTTGGTGACGATAGGCTAAAGTACTGACTGAATTAATCGCGAACAATAAACAAACACACATTTGAAAAGAGGCATTCTTCTTTATCCGCGGTGTACTGTAAATGTTGCGACAAACTTCCAGAGGAGGTAGAGCACATCATAAGGATTAAGTATTGTATAGGAAACATACCCGGAAATGTCAGTGGTAGGTGGTAGCAGAGGTAGAAGATGGGAAAAGAAACTACAGCGATTAATTTGAAACATTTATTGGACATAAATACAGCTTGAAACTTACAACAGATGCTCAAAGTTTGCACCTCAGACGCCAAACATGCCTGACACCGACGGATCATTTGAACGCCTCGATCTTTCTGGAGCAGCTTCCTTGACGATGTTCCAACAAATGTAGGGCTCAACATATGATTCCAACATGATGGAGTACCTGCTCATTTAGGATTGGGTGTTCGCAGTCATTTGAACAGATCGTTCCCGCATCGATGGATTTGGCGTGGTGGTCTAGTTCCCTGGCCCCCACGCTCCCCGGATTTATCGAGCCTTGATTTCTTTTTGTGAGAAGACATCAAGTGTCGTGTGTTACGATCCTGTTGTGTCTGAAATGGATCTCGTGCCAAGACTCGACTGCAGAGCTGCTACAATCAAAGGAACTCCCGGTGTGTTTGAACATGTCCGGCAATGAATGGTCCGTCCTGTTACAGGCATGTTTGGCGTCTCATGGTGCAAACTTCGAGCATCTGTTGTAACATTCAAGCTGTCGTACACCATTTGTATTCGTATCTAATAAATGTTTCAAATTAATTACTCTCTTCTTTCCTTTCCCATCTTCTACCTTTGCTCTGACATTTCCGGGCATGGGTTCCTATGCAATTCTTAAACCTTATGATGTGTTCTACCTCCCCTAGAAGTTTGTCGCTACACTTACGGTACACCCTGGACATATTTATGTTAACAGTTGTAGCGTTGCGCGCCTCCAACTTGCACGCAACCAAGAGGTGACTGTGAAAACTGGATAAAAGACAGAGTCTTGTTAAGGGTTTAAGTCCCTTTTTATTCAACGTAATAAATTACAAGTGCGTGCTCTTGACGCTCACAAACTGCGCCAACTCGGCGGTCAAATAAAAATAATAACCTGAAAAGAAACTAAAGACAAGACTCTAACTACGAGGCTCTCTAAAAGTAACTAACCTCACCGCGCTTTACAATACCGCTGCTAATTCAGCAAACTTGAAGATCACTTGAACGATTAACACTACTTCCAGGCAAGCACACAGGCCGAAACGCGGGGTTCTTCAATTTCTGGCCAACTACCTCCGCGCTCGTAAAGTAAGAATATCACACCTCGAACTCGTTTCCTTTCTATTTAAATCAGAATACTTCCGCTGATAATTTGAATCCTTGCGCGTTCTACTAAAATTTACATACTCTGGCATTGGCAGTTCCAGGGGAAAGTAAGGCTTGACAGGAAAGATAGTTTAAACTTAAAATAAATGTTAGTTAAAATAAATATAAACCCTACACAGTGGCAACGTGAAAGCTCAAGGACACTTCCTAAACTTCTCTCAACTAAATAAAGATACAACGACAACAAAGATATTTTACTTGTGTTGATGCTGGTGATGGTCATCGTCGTGCGTATGAGCAGCTGGAGCATTGGCAGTCGTGGTGTGGGAATGGGATTCATGGTGGTGATGCTCGCCGCTGTGGGAATGCTGTTCACCGCTATGAGAATGTTGTTCGCCGCTATGGGAATGCTGCTCTCCACTGTGCGAGTGGTGTTCTCCACTGTGCGAGTGATGTTCTCCACTGTGGGAGTGATGTTCTCCACTGTGGGAGTGATGTTCCCCACTATGACTGTGATGCTCACCGCTGTGGGAATGGTGCTCTCCGCTATGGGAATGCTGATCTCCACTGTGGTGGTGAACATCGCGAGAGCTGTATTCTCCATGCGATCCCCCATGACCTATCAAAATAAAAGCAAAACCATTTTAAGTAAACAAATCGAAAAATTTAGATCGAAGTGCAGCAAGACTAAGAACTTCAGCATTAAAACCAGATACCAATTCCTATAAATACCATTTGCTGCTATAATAATACTGCTCTTTAAAATTTAAAAAGCAATATAAAGAAAGCTTTGGGTCAGGTAGTATGCTATGCCTTTATTATTTATTGTCTTTATTATTTGGGTTTCTTAGACGTATATTTCTCATTCAATTAATTCAGTTCACACTTCGCGGCAAGGCAAAAGTACATAAAACCTCAAAATATCTTTATTATAAATTGAAAATTATAGAAAAATATAAACCATCAAATACAGTTAAAACAATTTAAAAAAACCCAATTTAAAATTTTTACAATGAAAATTGCGCAAAAACAAGCAATTCCGTCAGCGGGCAAAAAAGGCAGATTTTTCGGTGCACAAAACTGAGAGTTTCCTTTCTGTCCCACTCGGCAAAAAGACACTGAAGGTGCAGAGAGCAACTTAATTCACTATTCTGTCAAGTTTCAAATGTAAACAAATATGTTTGCTATGGTAAAAAAAAGTTAGGTTTAGCCGTACTTAAACAACTTTTAAATTTTTGATAATTATGCAACTATTGCATGCAGATTAACTAAAAACATAAAAACCTTAACCGGAGAATAAGAACAGCATAATTCACTTATTTTTAAAGCAACAAATGCACAATTTACCAACAAATACGAATAACAAAACTGAGTAAAGCGCACGGAGCCGAGTAACAGACTGGGTGTATATAGATATACATTGACTACCAATAAGTATTTGGACACCTGTGATAGAAAAGAAAAACTAACTTTATTCAAAATCAATAGTTGGTAGAGCCTCCACGAGAGGTAATTACAGCGTGGACCCTCCGGGGCATACTTTCCACAAGTCTTTGTATGACAGCTAGTGGTATTTTCTTCCACTCGCCTTGGAGAAGACATAGAAGTTCCTTCACGAATTTTGCACGGGTAGTGCACCCCTGAATTCGGGGATGCAACTCATCCCAGAGGTTCTCGATAGAGTACAGGTCTGGACTCTGGGCAGGCCAGTCCATTCGATGAACTCCATTGCCACCATACCAAGCCTTGGTTAACGTCGAAACATGGCAACTGGCATTGTCGTCCTGAAAGTAACAGGGGTCCAACCCGTAAAACTGCCACAACATAGGAAGCACATTGTCATTCAAAATAGTGCAGTAGGCATCGGAGTTGAGCTTACCATGAATGGGAACCAAAGGTCCCAGCCCATAGCAGGAGAAAACCAAGCAGATGTGCTTCCTTACGGATGGTATTCATTGAAACAATACTCCCGGATGCCTGTTGAAACTCCTCGCGGATGAGGGCCATCGGTTGGGTGCGGTTCTTCCGAATTTCTCTGGACAGCACTCGTCGGTCTCTATCTCCCAGTTTCGTTGGTCTGCCGACTCGGGGCACATTTCGACAATCACCGCTCACCTTCCACTTCTTAATCACATAGGCCACTGTCGATTTTGGGTACTTCAGATCGCTAGATATGTCCCTTAAGGATCGGCCACGATTGTGATACCCGATAATTACACCTTTCTCGAAATCAGAAAGCTCCGAACTGCGAGGCATCTTGCATGCGACTAAAGCCGATGCTGTTTCCTACACGAGATATACGGGCGGAGTCCGTGACGTACATTAGGACCGCAGATATCGTCATTTGCATATTTGTCCAAATACTTATTGGTAGTCAGTGTATATATTTATGTACTTTTGGTGTGGCCGATTGCAACCAAAAAGGGAGGTGCACATATACATGTTATAGCAGCCCTACACAGTCCAAAATTTCAACGTTCTGAGGCTATTCGCTTTTGAATTATGCAATATACATACATGCATACGTACCGATGCCATGAAAAGGTCTCTTCTAGATCTATTTTAAATCAGTTTTATAATTCGTTTTGGGAAAAAGAGTCCTTTATTCTGCCCTCAAGTACAGATGTGATGCAAAAACATCGTTAAATTGCATTCGATAGCTGTCAAAATGGATATTTTCGTTGAAATATGGTACCCGGAATTTTTAGGGATTATAGTACTTCCTTTACTTCGTATAAGAAAGTAAAAATTAAGTTGTAAATTGTATGCAATGGCAATAAAAGAATATTAGTTCTTTTTAGCACTAAAATCCTTCTAGCTCTAAGATGGTATTAGAAAGCATGTATTTAACTTGAAATTAGAAAATAATCTTACCGTCGTGATGGTGTTCCAACCTATGAACAGTGATTTCTAACTCCTCCTGGTGCTGGCGCAGGTGCATGAGGTGACTCGAAACGGAATTTCTAAGTGTGTATATGTAAGTCCATAACTCACTCACATTCTTTTGGAGCTCTTTCACTTGTGCATTCAAGTCATTTTCCTCCGTTAGTGGTTCCATCTGTGTTTGTAGTGCCTCAGCTTCTGGCATCTGAACTAAAAAAATAAAGTACATTATTAAAACAAAGACAATAATAAAAAGAAAATCTGAGATGCTTCAGATTTTAAATTACGTCCAAAGCGGCGTTTTTTTAACATTTTGTGTGTTACGTTGTAAGGATCTTAAGTTTTACTAACGTTTATTTTATTTTAAATCTTTACTATCACTTCTTATTTTCGACTTCCGGCCAGAATTATAAGCGTGAAGGTTTTTATGCAAAGTTTGTCTGGCGAACGCCAAGTACTTAAGTTGTGGCTTTTTGCCAAGCGAGAGAGAGGAAGGAGTTAGTCGAAGCAGGCCGCTTGCCTTAGAAGTTTTACGCAGCTTGCTGGTTGCCTTCCAGGCCAGAGGTTTAATCCTCGTGATAAATTTTAAACGTATGTGTTCACAGTTCGCTGTACTACATACGGCTCCTGTTAATATAAGGCCAATCTTCCACGTTTTATTTTAAGTTAAGTAGAGTTTAGTTCTATTTTTATATTTTTAGTTAGACCCCAAGTTAGCGGGTCTGTGATTCCGAAGTACGGAAGTTATTGTAAATAGAGAAAAAAAGGGTTTGTATACCCTTCTTGTGTCTCCTGTTACTTCCCACAGTTTTGAACATAGTTTTAGTAAGCTCTCTGTTCCGAGTCAGGTCCTTGCATGTTCCCGAAGAAGGTTAGACGGAACATTGAACCTGATAACGTTTATTTATTAAATATCACGTTCTTCGCACTTAAACCACAAAATTAATTCAGTTAAAGAGCAATATCGCAAAATAGTTTTAAATTGAGCCTATCTTTAGAACTTCTGATACGGAGACTGGCGCATTGGAGATAAATAGGAATGTTTTTTCTGTACAACGTTGCCATGGCTTCTTTTCAAATCCTTGAGTTTGTTAATCAAAAATTCGTTAAAGTTTTACTAAATAGAAAATCGATAATAAAACCAATTCCAAATTTCAAATTTGGTCTTTCACATGCCCATATTCGTAGGAGGATTACGTCATTCAAAATTCGATGGCTCTATGTACCGTCGTTTTATCACAATGCCAGAAATATATGTACATTTATATAGATTTTTCATTATTTAATTTATTTAAATATAACACAGGGCGATAATACTTTGTGGCAACAGTTTGGAAAGTGATTCGCCGTTTGTGTTAATCGAAGAAAAATCGCAAAACGAAAACAATATTCCTTCAGGGGCAAAGCCCCTTTGGACTAAAAATGAGGATAGAAATTGATTTTATCTTCATTATAAAAAGTTTGCTTGAAAAATCGTCTAAAATAAAGTCGTGATCTTTTCATATAAAGCCTATTTCTTGCTCTGATCTCAAAATTCTTGCCTGATATTCAATGAGATACATTCCGATGACCTCATTGATCACGTGACTGATGTATACCTATTGGTTTATATGGATTATGTATAGTTCTTTTATAGTTTCTTTTTATTGATATGCATATTCGTGTAGGGGAAGTTTCTGTAGACAAATATATATTATTTCTAAAATCTATGGTTTCTAGATTTTTTATTATTTTATAAAAAATTAATTTTTTAGAAAAAGTTTAATTCTTGACTATACTTGCTTGTTTCTCAAAAGACTAATTAGTATTTTCTTTTTGAATTTTAATTCTTAAATGTAAGATTAAATGTTAATTTCTAAGGGTACACTTATTGGAATTACTTTGGTTTGGACTTTAACCCTGCCTGCATGGAATAACGAACACGAATTGAATGATTGGAGAGTTAGGTTTGAGGCAACTTCCCTTGTAAGTCTGTCTCCTGCCTACTCTACGATCATTCACTGCAATTTAAAAAAAAAATTTAATTAATTTTTAATTTATTAAATTAGTAGATTATTTCTGAATAGATTTTGCACTGTGCTTATGCTTCTGAAATTAAATGATATTGTAGATTAGTTCGAGAATTAAATTTTTTCATGTGTGCACATTTTTTTTAAAAATTATTTTAAATTATTTTGATTTTTTCCTTTTTTTAGAATTTAAATTTGCTTTTTTACTTTTATACGTATTGTTAGAATTTAAAGTTTAAATTAAAATTTCATCCTTGCAGCAATGGCGCAAAGAATATTTAATTAATTGTATTTAATTTTTTTAATTAAATTAAGTTTACTCTTATGTTACATATATATATACATATATTTATATACATTTGGTGAGGTCGATTGCAACCAAAATAGGAGGTGCACATCTACATGTTATAGCAGTCCTATGTGCATAATTTCAAAGCTCTGAGGCTACTCGTTCTTAAGTTATGCGAGATACATGCATACATACATACGCACAGACGGCAGTAAAAATTCTCTTCAGAATTCATTTTAAATCAGTTTTATAATTTTTTGGGGAAAAAGTGTCCTTTTTTCTGTCCTCATGTACAGATGTCACGCGAAATCATCGTTAAATTGCATTCGATAGCGGTCAAAATGGATATTGCGTTGAAATAATGATGCCCGAAATTTTTCGCGATTACGATACTTCTTTTTTACTTCGTATAAGGAAGTAAAAATATGAAAAGTTTTAAAGTTTGAATTGTTTTGGTGGCTTAAATTAGCATCAGACTCCTAACAGACGTTAATGGAATTACCGCCCCGTTTATACAGAACCACAAAGTCTCAAGAAAGTTTTAAAATAAACCATTTTATTAAAGAATTGGAGAATGAATACAAGACTCGTGCATACAATTCAGCCAACCATTTGTAGCGATGTAACTTAAAGTAGTAACAGTAAGTTCAAATTCAGAACTAAGCTAGCTATCAAAGGCTACACAATTCACTTTAACGTGAAAGGTGACTCACAAATCTATCCAGTATAGTATTTAAACATCGGCATTATACTGCAAAGTCCGAGGAATGAAATCTTACCTAAGCTAGCAAAAACCTATTTAACGTGGACTCGAGAGGCAGAACACGCTCTGAATGAAACTCTCGAAACCCTCCTTTAAATACTATATCTTTCTACCTCATATTACTTCTGGTAGGGAAAAGGAAACAAGAAGTGACAGTAATGATCCTAAATTTAAAAAATCTGATGTGTACATCACATGACTTCCTTGTACGGAGTATGAAATTATCCGCATTTTTTCTTGCATTTCGTTTAAACTTATTGGATTGAATTAAATCCACTTCGCCGACAGCGCATAAACCACAATAGAATAAATGCATTCTTTAAACACTCTTTGTTTGCAGAGCGACACTCTGGCTTAGGTTCACGTAACAGTATATTTTCGTCCTATTATAACTCAAATGTACAAATTTATATCATTTAAAGAATATCTAATCGTTGCCAAGTTCTATTCAATACTATAATAAAACTAGAACGGTGTATAAAAGAAATTAAGCAAAAAAAAAAAAAAAAAAAAAAAAAAAAAAAAAAAGACTTCTGATTATTCAGTATTTCTCATTCAATTAATCCAGTTATCACTTCGTGACAAAGCAAAAATAGATAAAATGTCAAAATAGCTGTATTAAAAATTACGAAGTAAATCATAAACACTTATTTCGTCGAAAAAATTCCAGAAAGGATTAAGCATGATTTAATTCGCAATATTAAATGAAGGCGTTATCTTTGTTGTTGCGAAATAGATTGGCGATAAATCCACTAATCTACTGTTTCAAATGTTAACAAGCAATGGCCGCCATCAAAAAAATTATTAGACTTAGCGGCACTTAAACAACTTTAAAGTTGTTGTAATTCTATAAAAATATGCATACAGATTTAAAGGCATTAAAACCTAGCGGAAGATAAAACACATAAGTGAATCATTTTTAAAGCAAAAAAATATACAATTTACAAACATATAAGAGTAAAGAAACTGAGATCACTGAGATAGGGAACAGAGTGGATATATGTATAAATATATTTATATGCGTGTGGCGCGGCCGATTTCAACCAAAATACGAGGTGCACATCTACATGTTATAGGAGTCCTATATACAAAATTTCAACGTTCTGAGGCTACTCGTTTTTGAGTTATGCAAAATTCTCTTCAGAATTCATTTTAAAGCAGTTTTATAAATTTTTTGGAGGAAAAGAGTCTTTCATTCTGTTCTTACGTACAGATATCACGCAAAAACATCGTTAAATTGCATTCGATAGCGGTAAAAATGGATATTTTCGTTGAAATATGCTACCTGAAATTTTTCGCGATTACAATACTTCCTTTTTACTTCGTACCAAGGATGTAATAACTGGTTAGTGAAAAATAATGGTATTAACCCTACAAAGATGTTAATTGCTGATGAAAGTCAAATTAAGATGAAAGCAATTTCCATTTCTATAAGCCTGTTGTTCATAGATTTTATTGCATATACATAAAAATTAGCTTATAAATCTCACAAGAGTTCCAAATTATCGATAAAATATCGATATCAGAACACAGAACATTGATATCGTTCTATGTTCTGATAATTCTCAGTTTTCTAGATGGGCAGGGAATCTGCACTGAAAATAATTTTCAGGAATTATAATACAAATTATTGTTGAATATCAGTAATTAGAATATTAATGCGATGTAAAAATTATCAGAGATAACCATATTTGTATTATTATGAAATAAAGAATGTGTGACTGAGTAAAGACTGTCACACCAAGAGTCGCCAGACTTTTAGGCACTCATCCCAACATGCTCTCTTAAAAGTCCTAATATTGAATTTCGAATTTCACTCTAATTTTATATTTTATGAAATTTATTGAATTTCGCATATGTTATTTCCGCAAGCTCATTTTTATAATGATGCAAAGGTCTTGTAGGATTTCGAATACGAGACATAAAAATTTAGAAATTGCATAGAATAAGAATCTGAAGCAACGAACAAAATTTCAATGAAAGGTCTTTTTAGCAGTGTTTCAGTGAGTAAAATTTTTAGCTATCCTAATATTATTTTTTGTTTTTGTTTTCTAAGGTATTTTCTCCCTCCCTTCCGCAAGCCTTCGTGATTTAATTGGAATATTCGACGTGCATTGGAGAGATCCATGGCTCGAGTCCCGGCGAATGC